TCTTTAATAATTTACAGTTTTGAACTAGAACAACATAAAGGACATGATTGATTGGTGTGCATTAAGCATCATCAGCTGCTGACACATTTTCAGAGTAAATTAATATTTTCTTGTTGGAATAACCTGTGCTGTCTTCAATTATGTGTCTCTTATCGAATACCAGCACATTAGAGAAGTGTTTTAAGCATAGCCTTTTGATATATAGCCATAGAGCAGACGTATTTACTGACAAGCGAGAGAACACAGTGGTATTTAGTTTAAATAATAGATTTTTCACATGAAGACCCATCCCCATATCATGTAGTAGTTTTAAACTGATGTTTCTGTTTGATATCTTTAACCTTTCTTTCCTTAGTGAAGAGATTTTAGGAGTGCTTATGGTATATGTAAGAAATCCATACTGCTTTGATGAGGCTTTTTTTCTTGGTGACCTCAATCCAATTTAAAGTTTCCCCAAATTAATAGTTAAATCCTACCTAGGTGTAGATAATTCTAGCAGCACATTGATAACAAAGATATCTTTATGTTATAAGGCATGTGCCCTCTTAATTCTTCCTCAAGGAAACTAAAATAATTTAGACTATGTTTTCCCAGTATCTTGTAGTAGTAGTTAATTTAAAACTAGCTTTGAAAAAACTAGAGAAGTCATTCAAAGTCAAAAAGCCTTAGAGCCAGATTCTTGGTCTTTCATGAATCACCTTTGTGTCACAAACTGTCTGGATGCCATGGTGGACTCCCACGCTGTAGAAAAAAACCTTCAGCATCTCATGGCTGGCATCAACTGTCCTGTGCCACATATCCTTTCTCTATCCCTTTAACATATCCCTTTAACATATCCCTTTAACACAGAAACATTCTAGACAGGTTCATCTGAACGTGCTGAACACACTTTGTACTACCCATCATTGCAAACCTAAATTATTAATCACTACAATCAGACCCAAGAAAAAGAAAAAAACTACTATGATGGGGAATTGAAATATCTCAGCCACAGTCAGGTATTAAGGGAGTGTTTGGTGATGACAGACAACAGTAAAGCAAAGGAGTTGGAAGTGGAAAAAAGTGAAATATTTAGAAGTACTATGCAATATTTAATAATGCAATATTTAAAGTACTATGACCACTAAAACCTTGTAATTCTGTAATGTAATATTTAAAATCTAATTCCTACTAAAAAAGATTCAAAAGATAGGATCACCTAACCAGAAGCTAATAGAATAGTGTAACTTTATTATAACCAGAATTTATGAAAGTGATTATAGTATTTGAAAATATTTCTTGCAGCTCCTGAGACCATTTCTTTTTATTGTTTTGGCTAAGATTTTTAAAATATGTCTTTTTGTCTACTGTGTGTGGTACTTTTCATAAAGTATTCCCTCACTCTCATTAATTTCCCTCTGCTTTTCCACTCTACTTGTTTAATTAACAATCATCTGTTCTTACCAGACACTAACTACGTGAATGTAAAGGCCCCCAAATGACCTATGTGTCTTGTTTTCTGCCTGTCAAAGATGGAAATTAACTGCCTTGATTAAAATGCCAGTCAATAATAGGTAAAATTTTATTATTCCTTAGGCTTATATTACTTAGTTTGCTTAGAAATAAACATCAGTCAGTGCAAATACAGATGTTATATTTCAGAATTTAAATCTAAGAAGACAGTCATCATATGAGTTCTGTGGTCTTGCAAAATGGACTGTGATAACATACCAGCAGAGAGTAACTATACCTGAATTGGAAAAGGTTTTCTTGAAGTATGAGTATATAACAGTACCTGAGGGTACATGATGATTTACAGCTATTGTGATTTACAACTACAAATATAATAAAATATGGAAATAATTTCTTTTCTGCTTAGTTCTTCCACAAGAATAAAAGTTAATAAACAGAAAGACCATGTACGTTGTTGCAATACCTGTTTCAAATAAATCAAATAATTCTAATAAAATATAATATTTAATATTTAAAGTATGTGATTTTTTTCTAATGTGCTCTCTCTTCTGTCAAAAGGTATTTTAGTTCCTTAACAGTCATACAAAAGGATCTGTCTTTAGGGCACTTATGAATATATTCTGGTCTGATTACAAAGGAGATGCTTATGAATGTGTGGAACAGAAAAGTTTTGACACATTGTTACTGATATTTGGGTTTATTTCTTACATGATCATAAACACTGCATAAATTAGGCCTATTAAAATTTTAATTAATTCCTTATAGCAAGTGAATATAAAATAATATCAACAGGAATGTGCTTATCTATGGTTGAAACTAATAAACTCCACTTTATTCATAGTCATGCATCTGTTATATACTGATATCACTTTAGAAAATCTTCTTTTTTTTAATCATCCTATTAACATAGGATTAGCTATGAATTTAGAATTATGAATTAGAATTTGAGAACAATCCCAAATATATAGTTCCTTCCTAGACTGACACAAATCAAATGCATAGGTCCAGAAAAGCGTCTCCTGTTTCAAAGTCAGTCAGTGTTTGGATATTTATCTGCAGCTTCCTTACGCTTTGTGTAAAATCATTTAAGAACTTTCATCTTGATTTGTCTTACTGTACACTGCTTTTTATTTTCTGTAATCAGGAGTTCCTTAAGCCAACCCTACCTAGTTTTAACACTGCACAGGAAATAGTTGATGTCTCAGATACGAAGCGTCACTGACTTATGTCTTTATTGCTATGGCTTTTCACTCTTATAAGCAGGCAGGCTTCAGTAGAAATCACACGTAGCAAAGTAAGATTTGCTTCAGTAGCAGTGGGCTCCCACTTCTCATACTCTTGTACATACTAATCATACATGCTTCTGACTGAAAAACAAGCTGATAGATGCTGATAAAACTTGTTTGAAAGTCATCTCTCTTCTGTACAGAAAGGCTGAATGCTTGCTATGGGCTAATTTTCCCTTTTTCCTCCTAGACATTTTCTCTAATAACAAACCAAATAAATGAAGCCAGGAAAAAAAGAGTGAGAGTAAACCTTATTGCATAAATGGAATACAAAGAAATTCTTTTAAATAATAGCAGATGATATTTCTTCTAATTTTTGTTAATAGATCATTTTACTCAATTTTTCAATGATACTTTCATCTCATTGAAAAACTGACTTACTGAGAAAGAACTGACCTCTGAGTATTAGAATATGGACAGGCTTAGTGCAAGTTTTAATACCTTAATATTCAGTAACACAAGAAAATCTGGGAGCAGCTATCCAGCCTCCAGACCACAGTTGGTACAGTCTCAGCCACCTCAGAGCATAAGTAGAAAAGTTTAGGTCTGTCTGGCCTTCTTACAAAGACATAACCTAACTTCCTGTGAGACCTGTTAGAGTCTAACTTCTACTTTAGCTTTTCATCTTGAATCACTGAAACCACATCAAAGTAGCAGCTGCTGTAATCCAAGATGAACAGCAATCATATATTTCACCTTGTTTGGATTCACTAAACACCTTGGATATTTTTTGTTTAATCTAAAAATTTTCTGTTGTATGTAAAATCTCCTTATTTTATTAGTTTATGAGATGAATGATATATGTGTAAAGAAGGAGGCCTGCTTAATCTATTTTTCTGTTTTTCACAAGGGAGTACTACTAGCCTAAGACCTATTTCAGAAAACACAGCAAATATGTTTGTCACTTTTTATTATTTTTTCTCTGTAGGAAGGTAAATTTAATAAATTTACTTGTTTTGTTAAGTAAACTATTTCCTATCTACTAAAAAATTCAGAAATAATGATATTATTTTCAGTTTGTTAAAATTAAATATGCACAGATAGAAATATGTAAATGGCTTAAAAATAGTAAATAGGTATGCTGGAAATAGTTATGTGTTTCCTGTATTTCAGTTATTGCTGTTTCTCAATTTTTGTGCAGACATGGGTGATGGTATCACAGAATCACAGAATTGTTAGGGTTGGATGGGACCTCTGGAGCTCATATGGTCCAACCCCCCTGCCAAGGCAGGGTCACCTAGAGCAGGTGACACAGAAACATGTCCAGGTGGGTTTTGAATGTCTCTAGAGCCTGTTCCAGTGCTCTGCCACCCTCAATGTAAAGAAGTTCTTTCTCATGTTGAGATGAAACTTCTCATGTTTTGGTCTATGGCCATTGCTCTGCATCCTGTTGGTGGGTACCACTGAAAAGAGTGCGGCACCATCCTCTTGATACCCACCTTGAGATATTTATATACATTAATGAGATCCCCTCTCAGTCTTTTCTTCTGTAGACTAAAAATTATGCTAGGCACTGCATATAGATGTATTAACAGGTAGTCCCTACCCTGAAACACTTTTAAAGGTAGTAAGTAACACACAGAGTAGGAAAAAGGAAAACTTATATTTCTTTAAAGGCAATTGATGGAGTTGCAAAGACTGAGGAAGAAAAGTGGTTTGATGTAAGGGACTGATACCATACTCCTTTTTTTCGGTCAGATATCATCCTCATTTTAAAAACACTGCCATACAGTCTTTTTTTTTTTTTTTAAGTAAGCAAAAAGCTGTATTGGTGCTAAAGTTGACATGAGCACCACTGGCTTAAAATGACAAGAACAGAACAATCAGACATTGCCTTTTTGGTCAGGATGTTTCCTGATTTCAGGAACCATCCTGGTCTTATAATGAAGATCTTAAGGATGCTATTTTGTTTCAGCATTTTATCCACGACATAAGATTTTACCTCTGTCAGACTGGGAAGGTACAGGACAGGAACAGGAGAGAAGGATCTTACCTGACTTTCAGATTGATTAACATGAATCAGTGATGACTCAGGATATATGGCCTGACAAGGGACCATGCCTTTCTGTTTCTCTCCACTCTCACCTCATGACATAATCAATGTGTCCCTCCTATTATGATCCAATGCAGAATTCTTTTTGTTGTTTTTCTCAGGATTGCGGAGTTGTACAATAACTGTTCTCAGTTTTATTTCTATTAAAGCAAAAAATAATTTTTCAATTTATTTGCAATGTGTAAAAATTTTGTTTGTTATTGTTTCAGGACACAGCAGGACAGGAGAGATACAGAACAATTACCACAGCTTACTACCGGGGTGCAATGGGCTTCATTTTAATGTATGACATCACAAATGAAGACTCTTTCAATGCTGTGCAGGATTGGTAAGTAAAACTTGGAATTCATAGTAGATATCAGAGAGAATATGTGCTATCACTTTTCTGTTGTGACAGTATAAATTATTTTGGAAAACTTATTTCCAAATACAGTGCTCGAACATTCCGATACCCAAATAGGGGCATAGGAATGTTGTTTTTTTTTTAATTCAGGAAAGGCAATGAACACTTTAAAATACGTTATATATAATTATTTGTAATAATTGTATTTGCTGTGATTTCAGTGTAATGTACATTATTCATACCACTTAAACCAGCAACATGCCAGTGTAGAGGGTAACTTCTAAGATACCGGAAAGTGTTTCCATATTTCATGGAAAAATTGATATACCGTATGTGAGGGTCATCTTTTAATTTTTCATCATGTTGCTTTTAACCACAGCTAGATATACATTATGCTGTCAGTCTTGTGCCTCAAGTGTTAAAATGAGCAAACTTTATCACAGTAGCAGAACCTGGAATGGCTGAAACTTACATTATCTTGCATTATGTGAATGTCCAGTTGTCTCCATAAAAGTGTTTTTTTAATCACACATGGGCTTTTTTAAGTAAAGCTAACCTAAAACGAAAGCCAGAGTTTACCTCAGTGATTTCTTCCTTAACAAGTTATTTTAATATATGAGAGTCTTCCAGCAGTGCTCTGAATGATATGAATAACATTTGCCATGTGTGGTCCGCATGCTCTCTTGCATGCAGTTCCCATGAGAGAACTGTGTTTGAGAGAGGATTTTGTTCAGAGTTTGTGTGATTTGTTCAGTATGTTTCTTAGGCTTTTTTAAAATTTATTTTAAGATATGCTCTACTGTGGACTTCTGTCAGGACAGACAAGGTCAGAAACATGTTGCACACTTAAAGAGTAGTGATGCTGTCATGCCTGTTTTTAGCAGGAATTGTTGCCCAGCCTCACATTGTCCAAGAAAACAACTTTTTCTCTTTCACACTCTTCTGCTTACCATTGTTGTAGAAAGTGTCATGGAGCTCACAGAGCACCTTCCCTCTCAACAACTGGAGTTTATTGATCTATATAGGCTGAGACTGGCCATTTATCACTCTGAAAGTAATAACTGAGAACCTTAGGTTGATTCTGCTCTAAATGGGATCTTGATTTGCCTAACATTTGCTTTGTAAGCACTAAGGATGTAGTCATTCACAGTCCTCCAGGGAAAAGAGGCAGCTCCAGACTGTGTCCCACCTTTTTACATCAAGTTATCTGTACGACTCTACACCAAATTGCTCTTATGAGCAAATCTTTCTATTTATGAGAGAATCAATAAGCTTACCTGACTAGTACCGACTGAAAAACTGTCTTTTGGACAAATGAATATATCTGAGTGGAGTCTCTGCTTGATATTACAAGAAGAAGGCACGTTTGCTCCATGTTATTTGTTATGCCAAAGGGATGTTCTGCCCATGTTGTACAAAAGCTGGAAGCATCATGCTGAGTACTTGCTGTAACACGTTTTTGAGAACTGCTCTGTTCAACAGCATGAGTCAGAATCTCCTACCTAACAGAAGATAGTTGAAAGTGTTATTCATAGATGCTTCTATGAAAGTTTAGCAAAAACAGGGAATCAAGCAGTACACCAAAATCCTAGCTGAACCTGCAGATGTGACTACCAGCGCCACTGCTTCCTGGCCCTGCCAGCTGAAGCACTGTCTTGCTTTGCCTCTGCTTTTCATTGTCCGTGGGCTGACTCTGTTCAAGCACTGGGTTAAATAAGTGATAATGGCTGTCTAGGACGAGCTGTGATCTGCAAATCCCATTGTCCCATCTCTAGGCAAACCAGATGGCATGCCATATATTATCTAGCTTCCTCCAACACAAAGATTTCTTTTATAGCAAGTGTAAATATGAATTCTTTTTATTAGTTTTTCCACCTGTTTGTTTTCCAGTCTCCTAGATCTGATATGTTTGGCACTCTTTATCTCTTGGTGAAGGAACAGGGCTTCATACTAATTAAAAAGAAAAAAGTCACTGTAAAATGAAGCAAGAAAAATATTTAAAAGCTATGGAGTTCTTAAGTAGGTTTATGAAATATGAGTTTTTCATCATTTTTATCTAGAACTTTTATGAACTGTTGGCAGATATTATAGAAATTTGGTGGAAAGATGTAGTTGCAGTATTTTGTGTCATGATCTACAATCATCTGCAAGATGAAAGGAATGACAGATCTGCTCAGTGCCTCACTTGTCAGAATGAGACATAGATTTGCCTGCTATAGATTTTTAATATCATAAGCCCAGTTGCTGCTCTGCTGTTCTTCCTCTGTTTTATTCCTCCCATCTCAGAGCTGATAATTGATTTTGATTAGCCTTGGCTTCAATTCTGATAGTAATTACAAAACCAAAGCTTGCTTCTGAATGTGAGAAAAGTTAAGAAAAACTCTCAAATGCCAATGCTCCAGAAGAGCAGGCATGGCTATGTGCAGGTATCTGTGTCTTTCTGAAAGATATGGGAGAGGGAGTGGGAACTTCTAAGCCTCTCTGGGGTTTAAAATGCATTTCTCTGTGATAAATATGCCTCTCTAAGCAGTAGTGCCACTTCATATACATGAACAATGGGCCAAATCCAAGCTCAAATCGTATCAGCTTCAAGACTTGCTCTAGAAACTGCTCTGCAGTCCGAACAATGAATCTATAGGTACCTTTTAGAATTGGATAAACAACTTTGGTTTAAAATGTGTGCTGGGATGATTCTTTATATTAAAAATCATTTTTTTGCGTCTGACTGACATTTCTCCTTTATAGCTACAGATACAGATGAATAATAGTTGTATCTCTAGATGCTAATGCTGCAAGCTGTGTACCTTGAAGTAGTTTGATGTACATTTATCATGCCCCCCTAAAAAGACGCAGATTTGGGGAATAGATTTATTTCCTATAAAGAGGAACCCATTGTAGAGCATCATTTTCTGCTTGCCTGAGTTCTAAATGAGAAAGTGAGACAGTGTCCACGTTTTAAGTAATTGGCCTAGAGGGATCTATTTTCTTTAAAAATTCCTTCTTATTAAATCTGAGGGGGAAATGAGTGTTGAGAGTGGCACCATGCCACTTCAATGCTTATTTTTTTAGTTCAGTTGTAATGTCCAGTGCTTGCAGTAATTCCTGTTTTATGCTACCACCTGTAGCATCTCTGTAGCTTTTCCATCTCTACATTTCACTAGGAGCTGTTATGTCCCTGTTCCTCTTAGTGGTTCAATCCACATAAGGTGTGACCTTTATGGCGGTGGTACCTTGTGGTAGGAGGGAGAGGGCTTTTCACTGTCTTTGCAAATCAACTTTGCTATCAACTCAATATGCTGAGTTCTATAGAAGTTCCAGGAAAATAAATGCCTCTGAGTTGAAGTTAAACCTGTTTTTACAAATATGACTTTTCTAGACTTCCAATGACTGAACTGGAAGGAATTGAAATATCCTTATACTCAGGTTATATCTAATGCAATATCTCCACCTAGGTCAGAAACAGCTGGTATGTAAACCATGATCTAAAAGCCTGAGGGTTTTTTTCCCAGCTTGAAAGCCTAGACTTGAAACTTCTCTAGGTCCAAAGGCTAGACAGGGCACTGTATATATTTGTTTACACAAGTTGCTCCTCTGCACCTGAAAACATTGTCCCAACTACAACTGTTTGTCTGGCAATATCTTTATAACTGTCTGGTGACTGCTAAAGGCACTGTTTTAGAGGGCTTCCCTCTTCAGGAATTCAAAATTTGAGAATTCCACATTGCTGAAGTCTCAGATTCAGGAATGCTTCCTCAGGAAACACATAAGGCTGAAGGAGCCTAAGAGGCTTTGAATTATTGAAGTTTTTAGATGATCTGTGTTTTGTAAGCCTGTCAAGGCCTACAGAATCAGTTCTTCCTCCATTTTTGGCTGAGGCTTATGGGAGCAGGGAAGACAGTATTCTAGGAAACACTTTGATTACCCTTACCCTTTAAAAAAATAAAGTTTTTACCAAAAATTTTATGATCCTTTTTTTTAATGCCCCTGATGGAAAGATTATGGTTACACATCTTCTTAAGAGGTTCAGAGACTCCTCCATGCAAGATACTGCTCTTTCCTCTTTTTCTCTAAATATTGAACTTACTTCTATCATTTAAGAAAAATCCATTATTTACTGTATGTCAGGGAACAAATCTGGAAAGTGCTTCTAGGCAAATTTAGCCTCCACCTCTCATTGCTAAAACACATGACGTGCCATGCAGCACAGTCCACATGGTTCTGCTGCACTGGGCACAGACACATGCCATGTATGCCATTGCCCATGCCTGTTCCTGGGATCCCTGTCCTGAGAGACTCTATCTGGACACAAGCTGCACTATGTACAGCAGTGATCTACGCACAAACTGAGTGTCTGCCATGTAGAGCAACCTCAGCACAGCAATACAGCTTAGAGCCAGCTGTAAAAATATTCTGACCAATCATGCTAATGTTAAAGGTATATATAACTTAATTTATATATACATATATATATATATATATGTACATACACACACACATGGGTTATATGTAAGGGGGTGGAGCTGAGGTAATTTCCAGGAGATTTACACTGCTGCAGGGAGTGCAGCAAACAGGAGTGGGCAAACAGGGGCATGGCATGTCAGTGAGAGTGTGGCAGTTTGCATGGCAGTTGGCACAGACAGGGTGAGCAGGATGGGCACAGCCACCCTCCCAGCTCTCTCTGGTGGGTTGTGAGATAGGTGTGTGGCTGTCAGTTTTTGCTTTGTTTTTTTTTCTCTCAGCCCAGAAATGGTTTCCAAACATCAAAAGCCTGCTGCTCTCAGGGGGAGTGTGCTAACCCAGACAGAACCCCCCAGGAAAGATGCAGCTGTTCAGGTCACTGGCTGCACAGTGTCTGAGCCTGGCATCAGTACCAGAGGACAGTGTGAGAGATGCCTGCAACGATGCAAGCAGGTGAATGATTTGCTGTGCCTAGTGGCAGAGCTCAAGGAAGAAGTGGAGAGGCTAAGAAGTATTAGGGAGAGTGA